TAAGCCCGTATTTGCAGTTTGGCTGCTACCAAAATTAGGTTTAAGTAAACCCGACATTAAACTTTAAGTAAACCCCACAAAAATGCTTAGCTGTATAAAGCCTACATTACTGTTTAGTTACAAACGAAGTATACAGAGGTTTCGCTAAACCCGAATTTAGAGTGTTGCTAACCCCGAACATTAGGTTTAGCTAAACCCGAATTTGAGGTTGAGTTAAGCCCGAATTTACAGTTTAGCTAAATCCACATCTAAAGTTTAGCCAAACCCGAAGTAAAGAAATAGCTACCCGTTAAAGTAATTTTAGCTAATTCCGAGTTCAAGCTTAGCTGAACCCGAATTTAAGTTTTAGCTGACAATGTTTAGCTGCACCCAAGTTTAGGGTTTAGCTGAACCCGAAGTTAAATTTTGGCAGAAGCTGAAATCTAGGTTTAGCCTATTTAGCTTAACCCGAAAGAAACATTTAGCCATACCCGACTTTAAGCTTAGGTGTATTAAACCCGAAATTAACGTTTGGTTGCGCCCGGTTGTTGAGGCTTCGCTCAATGCGACTGTTTCAACCAGAACAACATAAAGCTTGTCCAATGCTGAGAACATGACGGCTCCGATGCAAGGTGCTGTGGCATTGCTTTGCTGCACGTCCACATCGTTGAATAGCCGAAGTTTGCGCTGACAGGTCGTAAGGTTTAGTCAAGCCCGAATTCACATTTAGCTTAACCCGCAATTAAAGCGAAAACGAGAGGTTTGGGTGAACTGGAACATGAGGTTTAGCTAAAGCCGGCATTAAAGTTAGATGAACCTGAAAGTAAGGTTTAGCTAAGCCCGAATTAAAAGTTCAAGTAGATGCGAAACTAAGGTTTCGCTATAGCCCGAATTAACGCTTAGTTGAACCCGCAATTACTGTCTAGCTACATCCGGATTTCAGGTTTAGCTAAGATAAAAAACAGGACACACAACCCACACACAGGCCTACCCCAGTTAGATGCAGCCCGCACTCTTTTTCACTGGTCATGTCTTAGCATTCTCTAAGTGAAACATGCATGCAACAGCCTCCCATGCAAGACCTAGAACACTCCTAGAAGCTATGCTTACTACGCCACTGCTAGGTGCAAACATTTCTTAACTCCCCCCTCGCCGTGCACGTGGTAGTGCGGCAGGCTGGGGGCCTCTTAACCGACGCCAAAATGGCGTCATGCCGGCAGTGAGGGCGTGCGAGCGGTGGCTGCGGCACGGGCACTCGCGCTTTGTTGCCTGCGGGCGCCAAAAAGGCTGTCCCCCTCACTCGCCCGGACCGGTGATTTAGAATCAAATAGAAACAGACGATCAACTCAAGAACGATTCGCAACCTAGCTGCCCCTGTCACAAAGGATCGTCTTGGAAGACTTGGGCGCTGCTCCTGGCTTTGATGACAACACACGCTTGTCAACAAGCTCTTTGGGCCACTTTGGGCATCTTTGTGCGGGGACCCAACAGGCGGATCGCATCATCCCACCTGGCGCGTGGAAGCTGCATCGTGAAGACGTCTACCGACCAGAAGCCCCGGCTATCAATGTCGAGGTCTAACGTTCCCCAAACTATGGAGAGAGTGGGACGCAGCCCCACCCTGTCTGGGCGTAGATGGCACGCTAGCCTTCGCCGCAGCCTCCTTCCCGAAGGCGCTGAGCGTGGGCTTCTTTCGCCGCAGCTTTGGCGTTGGTTAGTGCTGCTGTTGGTTGAGGAGCTGTTGTCCTGACACGGCCGGGACTCGGAGCTGCCCCTTGCGTTGGAACGAGCCGGCCTTGGCGACCTAGCTTCTATAACCTCACCTGCTCCTAGCCTGAAACCTTCCTCTGCGCGTTCGCCCCTTCTGCTGGAGATGATGGGGGCCGGGCTGCGGCTAGGTCTCAGGACTTAGGTCGAGCAGTGTATGCCAGGGCATCCTGCCACGCTGGCTGTGGAAGCTCGTAAGGATCGATTGCTTCGACGGCTGGTTCCTGTTACTGGCGGTTGTTGGTAGTTCCCTGCATCGCGAACTCCGCTTGTTGGGGGAGCTGGGGCAGGACTGAGTAGGCGGTTTGAGGATCCTAGCAGCGCCGTGTGAAAATATGTACAGCCTCTTCGTTGACGTCGGTCGGAACAACTTCCTCACCTCCTCCGGGCTCGGCAACGTCAGCGTCGGCTGCCCCTTCGGCATAGGCGGGCGCCTCCTAAATCGATATTAAAGTTTAGCTAAACCCGAAATTAAGGTTTCGCTAAAGCCGAACTTAAGGTTCAGCCAACACGAAGAACAAAAGCTAACCAGAATATAGGCCAAGGTAAAGCCAAACTTCAAATTCAAACAATGTAAAGCTAAACTCGAGTTTAAGGTTTAGCTGAAACTGAAATTGAAGGATAGCCAAACCCACGTTCGAGGTTTAGCTAAACCCGCGAAATTAGTGTATACTGGTCTTCACGCGAAGTGAGAACAGCAGATGGGGTTTTGGCATGCTTGTTGTTGTGGCTGTCCGCATACCTCTGCAGTGATTGTTTGGTAGCCACCCCCTTACGCTCCTACCACCCGTCTCCTCCTGCACTACGCGGCTTCGTGGCGTGGCCCTCGTTCCTGTTCCTCTGCCCCCTGATATGTCCTGCAATCCCAGTTTTTGCAAGGGAAAGCTTACTCCGCGTCCGTCCCTGTTTCATGCCAGTGTTTTATGATGTGATAAAAACAAAGGTAGTATTTGCGAGGAAATTGCTACGCCTTTTTGACGGAGTCGCCGGAATAGTGGGGTGCCGAGTCGAATTCTCTACTCCGTGCGAATCTTAGTAAATCAGAGTTCTGACATCTTTCTTGCAAGTGAAACTTGTAATCACCGCAACCGAGTCGCTGTGGATCAGCTGTAAAGAGGTAAGTCGATGTGGTTTGCCTCGCGTCTCTGCCAGCTGTAAAGAGGAAGTCACATTTGTCTTGAGTCGCGGCTTTAGGCGGATTTGCTCCAAAACCCAAACAGCAGACGTGGATTGGAGGGCTTTGGACTCCAAAGTGCAAGCAGCAGACCTGCTTTTAGGAGGATCTTGGCAGAATCCAGGGCAAGGGGGCGCAGTTTTAGGGCCCAAGAAAGCACAAGAAACGTACTTGCATCGTACATGCCGACCATCTTCAGATAGTTGCAACACGAAGCAGACACAAGCATCAGTATCGCATGTCGGCAAAAGTTGAAGAAACAAACATGCACGAAATCACTTGCTTCCGGCAGATTCAACATTGTTTCGAACACAATTGGGGCTCCAAACCGGAGCCAGGAATTGGTCCCAAATATGGGTCCCGGAATTGGGGCTCCGGCTGATCAGCAGCTCTTAGGGAAGATCCATTTCAGGCTCCGTTTTTGGTCCCAAAAACAGGCCGCGGGATGGGCATGTGAACAAGGTAAAAGATGATCTCAACTTGCACAAAGCACGTAAGCTGGTGTAAACGAACATTGCGCGAAATGCAACCAAACCCTGTATCCTGGGCCAGGTGTGCTAGGGTGCTGACCAGCTCCGGGAAGGCGTGGCAGGCCTATGTTCTTTTAGAAACGGCACATGGGCCAACGCTAAAGAAATAAGCGGACTGCAACGAGCACAATAGAACGGCGGCTGGAGCTTGGGCTTGAGCTCCACACGGCTCCCTTCCTGGTCAGCTGCTGAGCCAGACCGTAGTGAGAGTAGCCGTGACTGAATTGCTGCGCTGACAGAGTCCGCTGGCTGCAGTCTTCTCGTTTTCCTCTCCGACTGGCTGAGCTAAGCTTTGCTTATGTTTCACGCTGTTTATTTGAGCCGTTTGTTTGATCGTGTAGTTTCGTAGGGACCGAGAGCTGCTGACACAGTCGACGAGGATCCAGATACCGAAATGGATCCAGATGCCGAGAGGGGTCCAGCCAACGGCCGAGAGGGAGCCAGAGCACCTCAACCCGAATGTAAGGTTTGGCTAAACCCGCTTTGAAGGTTACGCTAATATCGAATTAAGGTGCGGCTAAACCCGAAAATAAGGTTTAGCAACATCCACGTTGGCTAAACAAGAATTTTCGATTGGCCAAACCCGAGTTTAACGGCTAGCTAAGACCGGATAAATGGTTGAAACTGAAACTAAGGTTTAGCTAAACCCGATTATAAGGGTTCACCCGAAATCGAGATGAAACTAAGGTTTAGCTACAGCCGAAATTCAGTTCCAGCTAAACCGAAATTCTGACATAGCTAAACCCTGTGTCCAACCCCGAAACTAGGATGTAGCTAGACTCGAAAATTCAGGTATACCTTAACCCGAAAGTCTAACCGTCAAAGCGCCATTCTTTGAAATGCTCCCGGTTTTGGTGCAAATCCATAAGTTTACTATTAATACTAAAGCAGCATGACAACAGTCATTGAGCAGGCTGAAAGCGGCATGCAAAGAGTTAGTTTTTCTCTTCTGGCGCTGCTCCCACGTGTGTCCCCCACGTAGGTTCCAAGCGACTTGGACCCCGTTCGCAAGTCGCAGTCTTCACGTCGAGAGCTTTTACAACACGTTTAGGTGTTTAAGTTGTGCAACACAGTAGAAGCACCCGTTTGTCATATCATGCGACTCGTGGCCTCTTGGCGGCAGGCCCGTTCGGGCTGCTGCGCCTTAAATGCTCCTTTTCGGAATCTCGTAGAGACTCGAACCAAGCCCAGCACCAGGCCTGCACACATCGCTCGGCTTCGAGCTTCGAGCGAGACGTACCGTTCGGCACAAACACTTCATCGGACTTGTACGACACACACCGGCTCTTTCGACCCTGATGCACAAAGCCAGGCGGTAAGAAAGCTTGCACGAAAGCCGAAGCATCATGAGGATGCCCATAATAACATGAACAATGAGGCGGAAACAGATCCTCGGCAGGCCGCTCACGTGGCACAGCAGGCACATGCGGCCCGTCAGCTCGGACCTGCAAGATCGCATGACAGGGGCACTCCCAAATGTCAGTCAATTAGAGTATGTATGTCCCTTCAGCAAACCCCATCCACACACAAATGCCACACACCCAAACTGTTCATATTGTTGCGGGGAATGCCAAAATCGGTCCAGTGACTTCGGCTTGGTCCACGGCCATAGCGGCTGCAGCCTCAGCGGCTCCTCCTGCCCCTCCGGCTGGCTCGACAGGGCACCGTTCCGATGCCTCTCCGTCCATAGCCTGATCTTGCTCTTCGTCCTCGGGCTCGGGGTTGATATGATTCAGGAACTCCTGCTCCTGCTCATCGTCCGTCTGCCCGTCGAGCCTGTCCTGTTCACCAGCACCAGGCTCGGCATCTCCATCCTGACAGGATGTATTCGTTTCGTAGTTAAACCCTAAACTTTGTTGGATTGCAAGCTTCAATTTCACATCACTGTTCAGATCACTTTGCACAACCACGTTTTAATCAAAAAAGTGTCTTTATCAAGATTTGAAGCGGCCGCCCGTTGCAGTATCGATTAAAAATGCACGGCCCATGAGCCTGGCGGCGGGGCTTGGACTCCTTTTCCGGAATTTCATCAAGGACTGATTGAATGTAGTCGTCGTCCTTTCCCATCTCTTGCAAGAATGCTTCAACCCGCCTGCGGTGCCCCATTTTGCCATGGCCTTTCATCTGAAGGGCGGAGCAAACTTGTGAAAGCAAGCTAGCCGGCATCGTAGAGATGGAGTGGTCCGCCACGTACTGCGGCAAGCTCATGTAGTCTGTGGTCTGAGCCCAACCGAGGATCTTGCCCTGGTGCAAAGTAGGCTTCGTCAATGCGATCTCGATGTCATCGACGTCGCCAACCACCACAAGGGCTCGGCGGATGGCAGGCTCGGCGAACGTGTAGCTGATGGGCAAAGCATCTGGGACTCGCTTGAGATTCACAACCAAGGCCGCATGTGGGCCCGATGAAAGAACCATTCGTCGCTCTGCTTCGCCTTGTCGGCGAGATCGCCACTGCAAAAAGCAGTGTCGCGGCACCAACTTGCTGACCCACAGTGTTTTCAAGGTCGCCTTCACTGCATCGGCTCGCTCGTCAAGCTCGCCTGTGGACTCCACCCATGATCCGTGCAGCACCTTCAGCAATCTTAGCCTCTCGTGGAAAACGTGGGGTTTGGTGTAGGCCTTGTTCTGCTTGTGCCTTGTCAGGCCATCCGCATTAATCCCCAGCTCACAGTCCTTAGGCTTCAGCGAGTGATGGATGTGGGATTTGAGACTCTTGCCACGGAACGGTTGCATCCAGTCAGAGTCCTGCAACTCAAGGATTGTCGCACCGGCCGGCCTGTTGATGGCTGACTTTAAGCAGATGCTGTGTAAGTTGCTCGGGGCGGTGGTCTCCGATTTTGTAGCTCGCCGTGCAGCATCCCGCAAATCGTTAAAAGCCAACTCACTGGGTAATGAAGACAATAAGCTGTCAGGCTTGTCGCCTGTGATGCCACACAGAGCATTCACGGCCATGCGAAAGGGCTGGCTGGCGACGGAAGTCATCCGACTGGGATCGAAGTTGAAGTGCCTAGGCAATTGAAACGGACCAAACTACAAAGCTCCGCAATTTCCGACTAAAGGCGGTGCCTAAATCAAATTACAATGAAGCTAGTCGTACTGTCCGTCTACTAAACGGACATACGAAGGCCCTGTTCTGTTGCACAGCAATGCAGCTTCCAAAACCAAGCGAGTCGGTAGGTATAACAGAACTTGCGGTGACGAAATACGATTGAGCTCGCAAACAAAAAGGTGATAACCATTGTTTCTATTGCTGATAGCTGATTCTCGGAAAAGCGGTTTACGTCCGAAACTGCCAAGTCAAATACGAGTTCGACCAATGCCTACTTAGCTTGAACTAAATGCCACGTTACGATTATTTACTGCAGGGAAAAGCAGAAAACTTAGGGGTGTAATGTATTCGGTGTGGGCGCTCGGCTTTGGTCATGAGATCTCGATACACTTGATGCCTTGTGATGCTAAGCTGTGTATGTAGGTGGTGCGTCGGTGGGAGCAGATCCACGAAATTTGTCACGAACTTCCACTCGGACTGCATCGCTGAGAGTGTGGTCTGGCGGAGGGGCGCACTGAGCACACAGCAACACTTCCACGGAAAATGGTAGGGTTGTTCATCCAACTCCGCCAGTCCTGCAAGCTGGTTCAACAGCATGGAAGCATGCCACTGTAGCGCCTCCTCATCGTTGGTAGCCCCGACGTACTGCAAAGCCTCTGCTGTCACACTCTCCTGAATCGTCTGCCTGAGCGGGTTTAGGGAGACAGACCCTAAGCCCGACACAGCAAGCAAAGGCAACACGCAAGGCACGGTCCAAGAGATTCCATAAATGAAGGGGCACATTACACTGCCTGCGGGGATGGTGCGACACCAGCTTGGCCACCCTCTTTCCGGAAGCCAGCGAGATCACGGTGCGGATGGATGCCGCGCTGTCGGTCTGATGCTCGTGGGCCTTGCTGTCGGGGAAATGTTTGCGTGGGTTTTCGTTTTTGGGCTTGTATTTAATAGTTAGCATGTGTGTGCTGTGTGCAGTCAGAGGGCAGCTCGGCCAATGAACTTCCTCATTGGACGAAAAATGACCAGCATGCTTCTCAGCTTCTCTTGGTTTGTGTCGTCCGCGAGAACCTGTGTCTTGTAAAAGGCCAATACTACTTGTTAGTCGTAGCTGTTTGTGAGCAATATTAGCAATCTGGCGGAACACACTCTCGCGGGAGATATGCTGATACTCTGACACGAGGAGGCACAGCCCAGGTAGGAGGAAAACTTGCAATCAAGAAACCGACACATGATGAAATAGTTTAACCTTCAAACTTGCCCCTCCACTATAAAGCGATTGATGGGCGAGGTCGTTGGTCCGACATTCAAACGAAATCTCGAGTCTTCACGATCAGACAGTGGTGCTTTCGATTTTTAACAGTTTGAAGCGTCAGCCTCTTCATACCGCAGCAGCAACAGCCCAAATCTCAACAGAGCTGTAGGAGCCCAAGAACCGTCGCTGCCACTTCCATATCTTTCTGCATTTCTGCGTACACGGTTTTGCTTTTTAGACTGCTACACCAACAACTCTGTACTGACAATGCGGGGCTCAGCAGGCTTTGCAACAGATTCGTCCAATGAGACTGAGAAGTGTTGCGTTCTGGAATCCCATCGCCTGGTTCAAGTACATACCCGAATAAATCCAGTGGGATAATTCAGGCAGTTACTAATCTTGAAATACATATCATTGTTTGTTTTCTTGTCTTCTACGACTCTGCACACCGACCGACCACTGCCTCACTGAAATATTGCATGCACTCCCTGTCTAGGGTGGGGGCCTTGTTCGTCGAGTCTCGCATCCAAACTTAACTACCCATCAATCCGAAACATTACTCTCAAAATAGTCTTCTTGTTTGTCCCCGAGAAACATTCCAAGCAAAGGTTCTGTTGGAGCTGCAATCTTCGCCAGAATTGTCATCGGAAGAAGAAGTTGAGCCAACACTCCAAGGGTTCCTGCCTTCAAGCCAAAAGGCGAAGCTGTGGGTGAGGGCCATCGAATGCCACACCTTGTCCCAGCACAGCCCGTTGTCGAACCAGGCAAACCATCGAGAGTCCTTCGCTGAGTTGCCGACGACGTGGTAGCGCCCTGCATCGGGGGCACGGCTTAGATTGGCAGCGGTAAATTTTTAAGGGCTACGGGACTCCGGCCTTTCTGAGCTTTCAGAGCGGCAACGGCGTGGTCGACTGCAAAGGCTTCGCCGGCCACCGCGGATTTTTTGTGGAGGGGTCCTTCCTCGTCTCGAGCAATGCCGCCGATCCATGGATCGAGAATCGGGTGATTCTTGTCCGTTCGGAGGACCTCAAGCAATGCGTCTCGTGCCTCACTCAGGCTCTTTCCGAACTTGGAAGTTTTGTAGGGGCCACGAGTATACTTGAAAAGCCGCATCATTTTTCTCATAAACTCTTCTCCGGAGTCCTGGTTGCGAATCGCTGCACTCGATTTACGGGCAGCCTTGTGGAAGATGTCTGACCACCAGGCGACGTAGGCACCCTGGCTGACGACGTGTTGCCATGCGAGCCATCCCTGCCCAAAATTAAGTTTGGTTGGCGTGGAAACACAGCTTAAACACAGCTAATATTGGTTAACATTGCAGCATTACTTGCTAGCAGAATAGAAAATGTATACATGCAATAGCCAATAGCTAGTGTATCAAAAATAAGCAAACCATCTCCCGCCCGGCTCCCCCGGCTCCTCCGTCCCCTCGTCTGCGGCCCAGCAGAGCCGGTAGTGGTCTTCATTCTCATAAAAGTCCAATGCACTGGTTCTCAATTCTGAGTCAATGGTAAACCAGCGGGATCCTTGATCCGGAGTCAAGCCACGAGCACTTGCCTCGGCAGTAGTCAGGCAGCACCTCCGGCCGTCCGGACCTGCGGGCACTAGTAGATTCGCTGGCCTCGCGGACAACAAGGTCCACTCGTCGGGTGGACACTGTTTCAAGCTGTTCGTGATTCCGCAAAGTACCGTCTTCGTGGCGTTGCGATACTCCTTGAATTTGAAAGTGTCCTTGCTGACAATGACATCGGATTTCTTTGCAGGGACCTGGTCCTGCAAAGCTGAGGCCATACTGGCCGCGGCCTCCACGATCTCTTCACTGGAGCTCCCAGTCGCAGAAAGCAGCTGGGTAGCACCGGCGAACTGGCACCCTGCCATCCGCATGACAACAGACAAGACCTGCCCGGGCATGACGGCATGAACGAAATACGAATACACATTCCCCAAGCTGGATGCACAAGAACATTGCTCACCATTGAGGCCGACTGATTCACACTAACATTCGGTGCTGATTGACTCCTTGCTTGATGGCAGCAGCTACCTGTAAATAGATATGAAGCGCTTCAGGCTGCTCTTCTAACACACCCAAGCAAACCAACACGGTCAATCCAGCCTGCTCGTGGTTCACCGTCGCTCCGTCAAAGCAACAATTGACCGTTTTGAACTCTTGCGACTGCAAGACCTGGCCGACGAAGTCCTGGGCCTTGGCCAAGGACCTGGCGGCAAACTCTGTAGAAGTTCGGGCGGCGTAGACAGTGCCACGTCGTAGAACGTTCAAGTCCTGTAGCTGGGTTTCGTTCTTGACGGTGACATATCCACCGCCCCTGCTCATGAACTTCTGCACAAGATTCATGGCTAAGCATCTGTTACCCCGCAACCGAGAAGATTTGAGAAATGGGTGATATCGTGCTGAAATTTCTGGCGATGGGCAATCTTCTGTCACATGCTGCTCCAAAGCCTCTTCGGCGGCCTGGCTGAACAGGTGCATACATCGTTTGAGCATGCGTAGGAAAGACCCGCACTGTTTGAAGGAGGCGTCGTTCTTGATGCGTAGCATGGCGATCAAGAAGTGGCTAAACGGCAAATGCTGGTCGGGGTTGCCGGGAAGCTTCTGAAGGAACCTGTGGAGGGCTGAGATTCTAGTCTGGAATCTGTGTATGCAAGAATCAGACCTGAGTAGCAGCGAGTAGCAATAATACGTTAGGGTTGCCAGTCTGACACTTCTAACTCCAGGCGACGAAAAGCCAGGATGAGTTAGAGAAGCCAAAGCCAACAGGCTTCTGTCCTTCGAAAACATTAAAGACAATGAATGAAGCAAACACGATTGGGGTATGTATTCTGCCACCTGTGCCACGGCAGCTGCAGCTCTTTCAGGATCGCCCTGAACTGGGCCGTGTGCGCCCGCCCACCCTGCACTTCCACCACAAACATGGGGTCGTGAGGTAGAACCTGAATCGTGCGGTCTTGGGGCATGATCCGCTCGAGAGATTCAAAGACTTGAAGACAACTCAACACAGCATCGCTCGTTAGTGTTGCCGTCTGCAGGACACTCCCCATCACCAGGATCATCCCAGGGACAGAAGTAGCATCCACTGGAAGTGTTGCTGGGCAAGCGATGGCACCTTTGTAGGTGCCTCTTCTCAGCACCTCAAATGAACACTACAGTGTTACAACGAATCTGTATGTAACAAGCCGCATGACACGTGAGCGCCAACAGCATCTATCACTACATCCTTGGGTCCCGGCATGGTGGCGCCCGAACTGCATCGCTTCTGCTGCTGGCAAGAAGACACTGCTGAAATTCTTGGTGTACTATTGACTAAAGGGTGTTTTCAGAGCATACCATTCTGCAACCGACACGTAATATCGATAGCCGTCGGCGTTGGGTGCACTGTCCACCTGAATGAAGCTTGCATTGATTCACGAATTATCAGACTTATCAGACCCCCATCCCTTTCAGATCGGACAGAACAGGAGAAAGTGTAGCCTTTTGAAGACAAGGGGCGACAAGCACGGACCACACTCCATGCTCAGTCTTGAGAAACCTGAAGACATGCGGCAGAATAGTTTTCCTGTCGTCAGCGTCGGGGGATCGTTGTCGCACATGAACGGCCTCAGCCAATCTGTTCTGCGGGGTGGCACCGGGCATGGTCGGAAAGGGTGCAAAGGCCAGCTCGTCACCGTGCAGATACAGAAAAGATTTCAGCATGCTTTTGTACTGCTTGACCTGCTCTGTTGTGGCTTTGTGCTGCTGGAGGTAGAGCCACTTGTCAGCAATGGCATTCCTTAGCAACAAAGCTTCCACGGCCTGATCATCCTCACCCGTCGGCACCTGAACGGCCAGCTTCTTGAGCTCAGCTTCCCAGACCTTGGCAGCTGGCACTGCAATCGCAGCCATGCCTGGTTCACAACAAAGCTACCGAGCACCCCGCCCCAAGCCGGTCTTCCCACCCCACGGGCTCCGGCGTCCCCCCCATGGCAACAGAAGCTGCCCGGACCCTAAAGAACGATTCTGAGCAAGTATGTTCATCTGTGTGATTTATTGTGGAAAAACCATGCAATCTCCCATTCTTTACATAATTGTTCTTTATGACATTTTCGGACACGTTTTCTTCAAAAGGGCAAAATTTGTTTTGGGGCTGGTGAGAACGATTCTGCTGGAGAGAACGATTCTTTCTCAGAATGGGTCCCTCGGAGCCAGAATTCCGGCGGAATTTGGCTCGCACGGGCTCCGGCTCCTCTCTCACCCTTACCAACTAGTAATACTCTTGCCAGAACAGGACTACGGCCAGCTATAGCCTCTCGCCCACCCTTCCCCATTTAAAACGTACGATCGGCATAAGGAAGGGTTTACTTACTTGCATGCGACCCAAACACTTCTAACTAGGAACCATGTCAGACCCCCGGCCCGAGACCGCGCGAACAGTCAGACGAAGTGCAGATACTACCCTACTACCGCTGCCACAACAAGTACGACTCCTCCTCCTAGTCCTACTAGTACTACTACCACCACCACTACTTACTACTATTGAAACGGACCCGGCCTGTCACCCTGCAGAAGGTTCCCTGCAAGAAAACCGAAATCAACTGAGATTGTGAAATCATTGCACCGTGTAGCACTGAATGATCTGGTCACAAAGGTCAGGCTCCGAACCCCGGAATCGCGATATGCAAGCACGACGTGACCCACTCACTCACGTAGAGACTGACAAGAGCACCAATCCTGAAAGCAGCACTGGCTCAACACATGGCAGAGGTTTCACACGGCGGCCTCAGGAAACTGGTTGTTCAGTCGGAGACCTGAAGAACGACAACACCGTAACTAACGGCATCGAGCCTGGCGTCCGGCCATCAGGCGCGAAGGTCTAAGGACTCCGGGTCCGATGCCCCTGTCAACTTGAAAGAAGGGAGGGACGACTACCCACTTCAGTCGCCCTCCGAAGCTGCCTGAGAAAGTCACTTGCCGCTGTCGCTGGAGTCATCATCGGAATGTGACACGTCAGCGAGAAGGCTCTGGTTGATCTTGCCTTTTGTGTTGCGGGCAGGGGCAGGCTCTTGGGAGGCTTCTTGGCCGTCCGCCGGTGTTCGCTTTGGCCCCGTCTCAATCTCCAGGCCAGGATCAGCTTTCGGATTCATCTCTTTGAACATGAAGTCGGCCGCTCGCTGCACAAGGCCATCCTAGGCTGATGGACAGCAGCACAGCACACTTCATGACAAGTTTCCCAACGGTTCAGACGCAAATATTCAAACCATCAGAGAAGCGAGACATCACCGCATTTCTGAGTTTCGGGGTTTTGGGTGACTTTGGGCTGGGCGAGCCATGAAAGGGGTCTGGGTTTCTGGGTTTTGGGTGACTTTGGGTTGGAAAACCCTGGAGCCCAGACCCCCAATCTCGAGCCGAGAAGGGGGTTCTGGGTTTCTGAGTTTTGGGTGATTTTGGGCTGGGGAATCTTGGAACCCAGACCCCCAATTTCGAGCCGAGAAGGGGGTTCTGGGTTTGCGCATTTTGGCTGACTTTGGGCGCGGGAAATCCTGGAACCCAACCCCCATGATCCGAACCCGAGAAGGGGGGCAGGAAATGCGGCTGCTGAATACGGCAACAAGGCAACAAAGACCCAGTGCCACTGCTAAGTCCTCGGCCGGTGCACCCAAATCACCCAACCCCCCCGAGCAGGAGCAGTCAGTTCCCGAGCAGTCGTTGGAGCACGTGCAGCCGAGTAGCCATATCCTTCGTAAGGTCTTTGATCATCCTCTTGGCCGCATTCCGGCCGGTCCACGTTATCGCCATGAGAGCGTCTTTGGCGCCCTTTCCGACCGTGTCCGCCACCGGTTGCCAGCCATCGGCCAGGGCCTGCACAAAGGTCTGGATGTCAGCCTGGGCGAGCATCAGTGTTAGGGATTCCTGAGCCCCCCGAAAATTTGAAAAGGCATTCCGACCGAGCCAAACAACAAGAAGAAAAAACACACAACATCATCGGCACATAACAACATGTTTGAGCAGGGCGGAGGACAGCCACAGTCTCTCTATTGAAAGGCAAGCGAGGGCAACTTGACTTGGGTTGAACGAAGACAAACAGACTCGTCACCTGTATTTCATCTGTTAATTGCGACCAATGCACCAAGCCGTCTTCCTTCAGAACTGATTGAAAAAGCTCTTGATCCGCTTGCACCGGAAGATACATGGAAAGGTCTTTCTGTATGAAGGCAGTCACCGGGCACTTTACCGAGGAGCCCTTGCCCCCCTCACCCTCTGCGACCGTCGTCGTCATGCCTTTGGCACCCAACTTTGCTTCAAGACTGGATTTCTGCTTCTTCCAGCGACCATCGAAAAGATCGTCATCGTTGGTAACCCTCCACATTCGCGGAGCGGTCTTGGGTTTATCCCCTGCTCCCGGACTGGTCTTCGTAGGCTCGTCGTCCTGGCAGCCGGGATTTGCAAGAATTGGCAATAATAATTACTCAGCATTGATTGGCTGACATGGCACACACTACATCAGACAGATGGAGATCTGAGTGGGTCCTCCTCGGCCTCATGCTTCTTCTTCTGCTTCTTCGGTTTCGTGACCTTATCCCCGTCCCCAGAGTGCTCGTCGCCCTCCAGGTCTAGCCTCGAGGAAGCTTTGCCGGAACTTCCGGAAGAAAGGCGTCTCAAGGGCTTGGCGTCATCCATCTTCATCTCCTCTTTGGCTTGCTCGAGCCCCGACTTGATGAGCTGGTCTAGCTTGGCCTCCCACTCCATCTTCTCCTTGGAGTCGTTGGTGTACTTAGCGATCTCCGTCTGGAAGCACCTGGCAAGTAAGGCTGCTGAGTTTGGTCTGCATGCAAACTCGGACATGATACCGATGCAATGCGGACAAGGCTGACAGCATGGCCTCCTCAAGCTGCAGAGGCTGCTGTGCTGGCTGATCACAGTCAGCGGTGACATGCCACTAACTCGGTTGCTCTTTCACACTGCACACTGCCCGCTCGCAAATCTCACCCAACTTGACCAAGGAAAGCCCCCCGACACCCATCTCCGGACCAACTTCAACCACGGAACTGTGCTCGGCCAACTCCATAAGGCGATCTCGCCAACACTTGTGTGCTTGGGTCTCGGCGGAGGCCATGTCCACACGAGCTGACAAGGAAGCTTCTGTGTTGTCGTTGTTCAACCTCGTATTCGCCCGTGCTCTGCGTCGCACCTTGGGCGAAACAAGAATCCCAAGAAGACAGGAACTGTATGTTGTTCGGCTGCAACTAGTACATAGGGTCTGGCGGTCAGGGGGCGGGTACATCGTCTATATCTCGATGTATCTCCTGGCCTGGCTCACTCTCTCACTCTCTCTCTCTCTCTCTCTCTCTCTCTCTCTCTCTCTCGCTCTCTCGCTCTGTCCCTCTATCTCTCTCTCTCTCTCTCCCGCTCTCTCTGCCTCTTTCTCCCTCTCTCTGTCTCTCTCTCTCTCTCTCTCTCTCTCTCTCTCTCTCTCTCTCTCTCTCTCTCTCTCTCTCTCTCTCTCTCTCTCTCTCTCTCTCTCTCTCTCTCTCTCTGTCTCTGTCTCTTTCGCTCCCCTTTTCTTTATTTATCTTGCTCTCTCGGACTCTCCTCTCTCTGGATCCTGGATCTCTCTCTCTCTCTCTCTCTCTCTCTCTCTCTCTCTCCCTCTCTCTCGATCTCGAAGTCTCTCACTCACTCACTCACTGCACTGTCTTCCTCCATCGCTTCGGCCGTCGGGCCCAAGTAACCAAGTCTGGCCACTGTCCAAACTTACATAAAACTCGATTGGCGCCTGTTGAATCACTCGCATTCGGCCTAGGGACCTCGAGAAGTTCCCCACCCATTCGGAACAGAGTAGTTTCTGTCATGCAGGGCAACAATCGAGCCATTGTCGTAGCCAGCGCTGCTGGCGGAAGATCTCCCAGACGGCTAACCTTTCCGGAGAACTTCAAGGCCTTCGGCTTCCTGAGTTGAAGACAGCATAGACTCACGAACTAGAAGAAGAACTCAAGCCAGCAGAGCACAACCAATGCACCCCACTCGGATGCATCACCGATGAATGAATCAATGCATCATTCTTTGGCTGCTGGCGAAGCTGCATCCCGAAAGTAGCAGCGATGCCAACGACCTCGGCCTGCGCACTATCCACGGAAGACGAGGAACTCTGCGAGGACTCTTTCTTGCGCTTCTTCTTGTCCTTCTTCTTCTTCGGGTTGTGCGGCTTGGAGCGACCCATGTGGGCAAGTCACCGGCGAGACACCCCGGTGGAGAAGTCACGACTCACTCACGAGTGCAGCTGGCTATGAGTGGACACCGACGAAGTTCCGATATGTCAATATTTGGCACTCGGCCACACTAACACAAGATATAGCAATACTACTACAACCTAACTTGTCGACTTGACACAACAGCACGTGCAGCTGCAACAGTAGCCGATAGCCCTTTCGAAACGGACGGCCCACAATGCAATGCTCCGCTTGAAACAGGTCTTGACACGTAGACCGTGAGGGCCTTCGGTAAATCTAGCCCTGAGCTCACCAGAACATGATGCCAGCGACGGCGTGCAGGATCCAGCAGACACCGTCTCTCGTCACACACCTCCGGGGCTCCAGGCGACTTAGTCAGAGATTTCAACACTATTCCTGCACCGGCGGGACTCTCAGCACGTGATGGGCCGAGCAACTTCTTGCACCCGTCATTATTGGGAATGTAGCCGACCGACTCCGGACTCAGACACAGGCACTTCAGGACAAGCCTGGAAAAGTAATTTCTGAAGATAGCCGCAACCCACGGAGCAGAAGCCTTGAACCACGAAAGCGCCAGCCAGTGCTGCCACTCGACCTGCAGGCAGCCAAGCAGCTGCCAGATGAAGGGGTTCTGGGCGTTGGATTTTTGGTGGTTTCGGGACATACCCAGACCCCCAA